TTCCACAGCACTAAGTTTGCAATGACGAGGCCCTCCGGGCCTAAAATTTAAATTTATTTATTTATTCATTTATTTAGTGTTATGACCAGCGTATGATACTGCCAATTATGTCGAAAGCCGAACCCAAGAGTCCGTAAGAGTGAGACGGAGAGAAAACCAGTTGGCCAGATAATGGAAGTTTACTGAGACAAGCACGGTACAGCAAGTCAGAGTAAGTCCTTTAGTGAGTCACTTATACAACGAAATGTGTTTGGTACTAAAATTGCCTTAGAAATAACGTGAGAGTCACTAGTATCCTAAAAATTATGACAATATTAGGATAAGGGTATATAACAACTCAGTGATATAACGAATCAGCCTCTGATTTTTTCCCTTTCTACGACGGAGAGTAGAAACTGTGAATTACACCGTCGGCGTGAAGTTCGGAGATTAGCAGAGGTTGTGGCTTGAATTTCAAGTTGGGATTAATGCTCGGGTATGTGAAAAGTCCACGTCCAAGAAGCGATTTCCAAACTTTGGAAACAATCCACAGCAGAGGAATTTTCCAGAGCCAGCGGATTGAGACTTCCACGTAGATAATTCCAAACTTTGGAAATATATGGTCAATTCTTGAATAATTTCCAAGAAGCATGTCTTCTATACTGAGATAGAGACTAAAAACACGTAAGCTCGAAAAACTTGAAACTCGCAAACAATTTCAAACTTCGCGCTTTAATGTCAAAATAGTAGCGGACTTGAGAGAAGCTACCGAACATGAATGCACCCGAATACCAAGGGGAATTGGTTCATGGTACGTGCGATTCCATTGTTTCGCGTTGTCAGCAAGTTCATGATCAAAATGGACGCCTGTTAGAAAACATTCAGTGATAAAAACAATAAAATGGTACTTGAAAATGTTTTACATTTATTTAATAATAAATTTTGATAAACACATATTTACAAATAGGTAAAATATGTATACATTTTTTTGGGACACCCTGTACACTGACCGACTTCATTTACCACCCTTTATATTGAAGGCTTCCGCACTTCGCACCCTCTTCTGAATCGCGACGGCCTTCTTTATCATCGTACCGTCATCACTCTCTTCGTTTTATAAGTTTTCATAAGTTACAATTTTCATTCTACAGCTTAATTTTTCGAAGATCGCGCTTATAGAGCATTCAGCAATCCCTTTAAAGAACAAAAAACCGTCCG